CAAATGATGACCAAACGCAGGAGGGGCAGCGCCCGATCGAGTCCAGAGAGCTCCCAAAGCCGCTCAACTATGACCAAACGCGTTTGGTAGGTCACGATCGGACGCAGCATCAGTGTCCCGTCCTTCTCCTCTTCTCTGCGCCGCCACGTCAGCAGGACCGGACGCACCCACCACGCGTCTGGTCATGAAGTGACCCAGCATCTGGTTGAAGACCGACGCCTGCACCTTCACTGCTGCCACTAACCGGATGTGCCGGTCCAGTTGAGGCCAGCGTCTGGTCACTCACGGTGACCTCCTTTCGCCTTCGTTTCTTCACCGAGTTGATCCACATCAACTCCAACTTCTTCTTCTTTGTAAATGTGCCAACACCACCAAGTGTACACCACCATGTATATGTGTGTTAGCATTTTTACAATCATTTTTTCAAAGGATTAGCCACTCAACTTGCCACGCCACTCGATCCTAGCGACGATGCAAAGTTAGATCACTCGAGTGGCACTAGATGACCGATATGCAAACAAGTTTGCCCCTCTTGATAGTACGGCCATCTATCCTAAACCTAGTCATAAACTTCTCTACACACATATGACCGGTGAAATGAAATGCCCTAGGTGGAGGAGTGGAGCACGTGCCGTGCGGCGCCCACGACTTGACGATAAGGTCGCGGCCCTTGGTCCTCTCTTGGAATCCATCCAGGCACGTCGAATCTTCGATAAGGGCGTGCAAGACTGTGAGCTCATGGATTGCACAGGGCCCCCAAATAAGTCATAGGATTTTACTAGCCCACTAGCCCGGCCTGTGCCTGCGAGACGGATAGTCGCATAGCCCGTGCTGGCCCACTTCAGGAAACAGGCTCAGTTTTTTTGTTCTCTATATACACTACTAAGGAAATTTTGGTTTTATTTATCGGTTGGTTGTTCGTCAATGACATTTATACATAAATTTCTTTGCACTTGCATACAGAATTATAGATGTTGGGGGCACCTAATGTCGCTGCTGGTAAATCACGGCATAGCGACTAACAACGACCAATGGGCATCTTTGTCGTATGACCTTTGCGTCCTTTCGTTTTAAATGTATAAAGTTTAGAATAAATAATATACTAGCTAATTAACTTATCCAACACACTGTATATTTTAAATAAAGAAATATGTCCTAACTTTTGCAATATCCTTATCTTTGGCCGTTACGTAAGCGCGTGGCATTTCTTTTCCTTCAAAACTTTGGTCCAAAACAAATATCCGATAAACTTTTGAATCTCCAGCCAAACATACAAAGCCACTTAGGATGTTTGATGCTAATTAGAAGTATTAAACATTGGTTAATTATAAAACTAATTACATAAATGAGGGTTAATTCGCGAGACAAATCTATTAAGCCTAATTAGTCTATGATTTGATAATGTGATGCTATAGTAAAAATGTGCTAATAATGGATTAATTATGCTAAATAGATTCATCTCGCGAATTAGCCACAACTTCTGCAATTAGTTTTATAATTAGCTCATGTTTAGTCCTCCTAATTAGCATCCGAACATCTAATGTGACAAAGGGCTAAACTTTAGCTCAAGGATCCAAACACCCCCTTACCATAAGAAGGTGTTATGTGCATAGGATATGTTGGTACAACTTATAAATAAGGTCGGACTTTTTTACAACTTGTTTTGGCCGCACTTCTCTCCACATTCCCTGAATTGTACCAAAAGGAATAAACAGGCCAGACCAACTTATCTGACCATGATTTTTCTTTATTTGTACAGTTTATCAGAAAAGTACTTTACAGAGAAGCTATGCAAATATGGCCATAAGAGTATCTCTAGCAATTGCTCTTAAATCAGGACCCCTACTTTTGATTGTAGAGCTCCCACTACTACTATATAGGTTTTTAGAGTCAGACAGATTTTTTGAGATCCCGTTGTGCGTAACCACCGAACTTCACCAAAACCTACAAGGGCAATAGATGGGGAGGGCCACTCAAAATCTGATTCCATAGTAGGGGGGAGTGAAAGAGGAGGTTTAGAGAAGAGATGCGAGAGGGAGAGAGAGCGCCTCAAGGGGGGCTAAAATTGATACGGGAGATAACCTCTTGGTTGGGGGGGAGCGGTTGCAGCCTGAGAGAGATGCAACTTATATTTCTTAGGGTTTGTATTGGGCCAGATCTTAATTTGCAGACGTGCCCCGTCTAGGTACCTGCCTATGAAAATGTTAAGTTGTGGTTATCTCTGAAAATGAAACGGTTGTATAGAAAAATCAAATTTGTAGTAGTGTCCTCTACTTCAAGAATTCTTATTTTTAGGACTCAACTCTACAGTAATATGGTTCCTAAATGAGGCCTTTACTTTTTCTATTCTTTTTCACATGCTAGCATAGGTTTACTGGGCACTTTGTACCATCAAAGTTCTAAATAAAAGTGAGGTGTTGGGTAACCTAAAGTTTTTCTCGTGTGCTCTACTTTACCCTTCAACCCATAGAGAGCTTAGCAACCTAGAGCCAATCATATCAACTAGTCTAGGCTAATCTAGGAAGGTAAAGATCACACAAAGCATGCACAAAGCAGGAGCAACAAATGCAATAAGTAAACATTAAGAGTTAGAGGGGGCAAACTGTAGGGGACAAGGTAATTTATCCCATGGTATCAGTTGCCAAAACATAGCCCCTAGTCCATGTTAGAGCTCCACTAAGGCAAGTTCTAGGTCACCAAGCGTTCCCCGGTCACGGTATTGAGCTTGCCAACCAAGGCAAGTGCCGTAAGCCACCTATACCACCATCGCCTGACTCTTCCGGTCACCTTTGTGCCATCTTTACTATGGATTTCTCCACCAAATAAGGGTAGGGATGGCAACGAGGCGGATTTGGATCGGGTGGAGTCTCTGTGCACCCAAACCCGAAACCCAAAATAAAAACCTGAAACCGCACCGAACACCGATTCGGGTGATAATCCATCCCCAAAACCAAACCCGCGGATACCTGAAACCTGAATGGATACCCGAAACCCGCTTTGTATGGCAACATAGTAAGAGCAATAAGGACTTTCTTTAAAAATATGCATGATATATATACACATATTCACATGTATAAACAAGAGGCAACAAATAATAAATATTTTCATGAATCAACTTAGAATAAATTTAATAATCTAAGTACTCAAGTTATTATTAGCATATTATAAAACATGAGTTTTAATTCCAAATGATTTATTTCGGATATCCATTGGATATCCATGGGTGGAAAACCAAACCCGAAACAGAACCCGATAGGTTTCGGTGCCCTGAACCCAAAAACCGTGGGTGAGAAATCATCCCCGAACCCAAACCCGCGAGACCCGAAACCCAAGGATATCCGACCCAAAACCGCCCCCTTGCCATCCTTAAATAAGGGGTTTGCTTATCCCTGCACACCAAGCCACCACTGCTCCATGCCAAGTTCAGAGGGTCGACATCGAAAGGCCACCAAGGCCTTCGCAGGAACATTACCAACACCTCGAGTGCTCCGACTCACTAAGATATAATGGCACTACACAATGGTCAATGTAGCTCTCAAACTAAAGCCAAATCACTTGCTAATCTATCCCTAGGAGAGATTACAGCCTTTATATATGAACACGAAGCTCTTTGTAAAGACCGGAGTGTATCTCAAATGTGTAGCAAACTAGCAATCTCCCTGCACTTTTTAGGTCACCAACTCCCTCCAAATGGACGTAAAAAAGCATATCTATAGCCCCCCCCCCCCAAAAAAAACTTGTAGCCGTTGGAAGCAAAATTGCAAAAGCAATCATCACCTGATGATCCACCGAGGTCCAAATATGTTTCATTGTATCATCCGACACTTCACTCACTAGCACTGGCCCTCCTCACCGGATCATTTGTTGGCTTGTCCTAGTGCATGCACCATTTCATCCGAAGTGTGTTGTTGAGAATTCGACTACTGGCCATATTATTGATGATCATCAGACGAATTGAGATTTTGGAAAATGGTAGAGGAACCCAACAAATACGCTCCTAAATTTTTTTAGCCACTTGGAAAACTCATTGATTTACCAATTATTTTTTTGAACTATTGGAGATGTTCTTAGTGAATCTTTTAGGTAAACCCTAAATTATTAGGGGACCATAGATACATAGTGTAGTATTGGATTCTACAAAATATATTTTCTTATATAACATTTGTAATATGTTGTGAGGATTGAGATCTACGATATTGATTTTGATTAATTTAATTAATTTTCTATAAATTTAAGTGGATGTTTAGACATTATTTTCACTACACCTTAACTTTAAATAACACTCCATTACAACCGAATCAGTTGGAAAGTCATTTATATCAAAATTATTATGTTAAGTATTGTAGCGAAGGATTGGAGTATCGATATGCTACGAAATTTCGTATAGGATCATATGAAGCCTTTAGATAGAATCAGATACGAAGAAATTAGAATATATGGTATGATCGATATCATTTCAGTTTGGTAAGATAACGATATCATAAGATTTTAGAATAGAATTTGCTATAAATTGCAGATTTGGCAACAGAAACAAGCCTCCAAAAATAAATAAACATATATATGGATGGAAACAACTAGCAGAAATTGGCAAAAAAAATGAAATAAAATCTAGCAGCCTCAGATAGAGTCCAAACATAGCGAGAGCTCTCGGTTTCTCACGCAGGACACTCAACTTAATGCTCATAAGAAAAAAAAAAGACCACGCCAAACCCCCAACGCAACTCGATCAAAAGAAAAAAAGACCACGCCCCCCCCCCCCCAAAAAAAAAAGCCATCCCTGCTTCGATGAGAAGGCAGGAGAACCTAAACAAAATGCCAAACCACCGAAGAGGAAGAGCGAGGAGAGGCCACGCCCAAACAAACCATCTCACACTCCCCACCCCACCTCCTCCAGCTTCCTCCCCCAAATTCCGGTCGTCCTAAACCCTCGCCCCCCACCTCCTCCTCACCGGCACGACCTCGATTCCGCCCTCCCCGACCCCGATGAACCCGATCTAAGCATGTCCGCCGCGCTCGCCTGTCTCCGCCGCACCTCCAAGCGCCGCCGAGACGCGCCCGATCATGCCCTCCCCCCATCGTCGAAGCAGCCGCTGATGGCCCACGCCGGCGCCGACGCCGCCGAGTCGTCCTCGTCGGCCTCCGCCTCCGCTTCGGGGGGCGATGGCGCCTCTGCGGCTGCGGCGGCGGCCTCCGCCTCGTCGGCCCCCGCGTCGCCGCGGGAGGTGCACTTCTTCGTGCGGGCCACCGATTCCAGGACCATCGCTATGCACGCGGGGAGGGACGACACCGTCGGCGCCGTGCTCGACCACCTCGGCGCCTGCGGGTACGGCCGTGATTTGCGGCTCGTCTACGCTGGGCGGCAGCTCGCGCCGGAGGTCACCCTCGCCGAGCTTCGCCTCCCGCCGGACTCCACACTTCACCTTTCGGCGCGCCTCAGGTCCACCCAGCACCCTCACGCGTGGCAGCTCGCGTCGCACATCGCCAGCACCGCCGCCGCCGCGGAGTCCGATCCCTCTAGGATCCCCGCCGCCGCCTTCGCCCTCGACGAACTCGTCAAGGAGTTTATCCTCCGCGCCCACCGCGCCAACCTGGGGCTTTCCCGCCACGATCGCGCCTCTACAGGCGAGGACCGGGCCGCGGCGGACCACGCCGCCGAGTACCTCGACATCTTCCTCCAGGCGGGCGCCGCCTTAGCGCTGGTTCGCCTCTACCTCTCAAAGTCCCCCTTCCGCTCTTACGCTGAGAGTGCCATCAAATGCTTTATCGCCACGGACCCTTCGTCCTTACCGATGGACGTATTGGTCGTGACGGCACCAGTGCTGCTTGAATTCTGCCGCTTGCTCTCCTTGGCTGCGGGCAAGAAGGAATTACTGTATAGATCATGCCGTCGTACACTTGCCTCAGTCTTATCCACTCGCCCCAGGCTGCCCCCTTCTATGAACTCACCAACCAGGTTGATCGAGCAAGTCCTGCCATTTGCCCGTGAAACAGTGGATGTGGTCCTTGATGGACTTGCATCAATGCCAATGCTTATATCGCCTAGTGATCTTGATGAGTTCTCAAACTTCCTCAAAGTCATGTGCCAGCAAGCACGCCATTGGATTTCCGGTGAGGGGCCGATGCCCAGTAACCTGTACAGCAGGGAGTCTGAGCATGGTGACACATGGATATGGAGGTTCCACAACATGTCGATGGATATGTTGAAAAGGTTGGATGAGTGCTTGAAGACATTGGAGATGGACCTGTCATTATCATCAGAGAGTACCGGGGTCATGGATAGTCAAACCACATGGGCTGCTCGATCACACATCCTGGTTATGTTGACTGAACTCGATTTCATCTCGGCGATTTATGAGGATGTGGGGCACAACCTACAGCTTGTGTTGCTGGCACACAGGGCGCCACTCAATGCTCTTGTCCGTTGTTCCAAGAGAAATGAGCGTCTACATTGGCTCGTGAAGCATAAGAATCTCCTTTGCTTCGAGGCAAGAAGGAATTTAGTCTTCATGATGCTCCCTGAAGGGAAGGATGACTTTGGGGAGCTGCATGAGATGTTAATCGATCGATCACATTTGCTTGATGAATCCTTTAATTACATCGCACAGGCGAAACAAACTGAGCTTCGCGGTGGGCTGTTTATGGAGTTTAAGAATGAGGAAGCTACAGGTCCTGGTGTTCTGAGGGAATGGTTTTGTTTAGTGTGCCAAGCTCTTTTCAGTCCGAAGCAAGTTCTCTTCTCGCCTTGTCCTGAGGATAAACGAAGGTTCTACTTGAACGAAAGTAAGTTTCCTGGGTACTAGTAAACTTACCACTTTGTACAGTATGTTTCATGTATCAATCTTGATATTTGAAAACATTCTGATAGTCAAAGCTTCGAAAATTTGAACTCATTTATTTCCTGTATGACATCTATTTTGTGACCCGATGGACTACTAAATAGTAGTTTGACATTGCTTGGCTGCTTAATTGCAAACATTGTGTGTGTATGTGTTACTGAATACAATCTCATAGGAAAAATGCGGCGACTATAAAGTTTATTTTTGAGCTTATCACTTAAATCTGTTTTGTTGAGCTTATCTATCCTGATAGCTGCCTTATGTGATAAGCCTATGCTTGACCAAAGAGGTACTATAACACTTTTAATGTATCCAACAGTAGGAGCCCTTATAGCTTTCATGAAATGAGAAGATTATGATGTAATTTGTATGTTGACACTCTGCCTATATAAAGAAAATAACAATACTTATCATAGTTAGAATGCAATCTTTTGTCTTTCTTTATTCTATTTAATTGATTCTTATCTATCCATCATCTGTGAGATAACTGATGTCCACAATGATGTTGCCCCGATATCCTCTAACCTTTGACAGTTATATGCATATTGCAGCGTCTGCTGTGGATCCACTGCACCTGAAGTATTTCACTTTTGCGGGGCGAATAATTGGATTAGCCTTGATGCATAAAGTGCAAGTTGGAGTTGTGCTAGACCGTACTCTGTTCTTGCATCTTGCTGGGAGAAGTATTACATTAGAAGATATTTCTGTTGCAGATCCTGTCAAATATGCAAGCTGTAAAAAGATTCTAGAGATGGATGCTGCTGAAATTGATAGTCTATACCTGACATTTTCCCGAGGAGCTCATGAATTAGGTACTGAAAAGGTTATTGATCTTTGCCCAGGAGGACAGAATATCAGTGTGAATATCAGGAACAGAGAGCACTACATTGATCTTCTTATTAAGAATATCTTTGTGGACTCTATTTCATCTCAGCTAACCCATTTCATGGAAGGATTTGCTGACATACTAGTTAATCCAAAACGCCGGGAAGAGTTTTTTGAGTGTTTAGATCTAGAAGACTTGGATCGACTGTTAGGGGGAAACAACAATGCAATAAATTTGCAAGATTGGAAATCACATACTCAATATAATGGCTACAAAGAAAAGGATCGTCATATTACCTTGTTCTGGAAGGTACGCTGTATTATTTGTGTAAATGCATTCAATCATGAATTATATGTTTGCTGTACAGCTATACATTTTGACCATTTTTTCTTCATGTGTGCTCAATTTCTCATGGCAACATACAATTTCTCACTAAAGTCTGTGTTAGATTTTGCTGAAAAACGCCAATCATTTCCGCAGATCAATTAGGTCTGTGCATGTGGTACCAGAGTTGTGGTCATAATCCTAATATAAATGTATGCGTTAATAGCATCATTCACTTATGAGACATATCTATGATTTATTTAATACATGCCGGCTGTAGAGAATTATGTGCTTCAGAGTATGGTATTTTGTTCACTATGCTCTTCCAGGTTGGCCTTTTATTTCGCCTCTAGCGTGTCCTCATAGCAGTTCATGAATTTAGTTTGTTATGTATATATAGTTGTCTCTCTTCCAACACATGTTACAGCCATTATGTCTTGGTGTATGGTTCATGTGGCCTTATTTTTTGTTGTTGTCTTGGTTATCACAACCTTAAAATATAGTGAACTTGCAGCGTGCGAATGGAGCCAAAAAACCTTTTTTTTTATTTGTGTGTAAAGGAAGTGAAACCGTGTCTTCTTTGTTTGTGTGTGTGGATTCTTTAAATGACAGTTTTATCTGATCGGATTTCTATGAGGTTGAACTTTAGTGTTATGTCATGTTTAGTTGATCTCATGATGAGATGTGCTGGTTGGACAAACCCACTATTAAGAATTTTGATTTCATTGCCCTCAGGATTTGTAGTGCGTACATCATTGTGACGAGATCCTTTAGAAAATCTTTAAACTGATTGCTATGTGGGCTGTTTTTCTTAATTTTGTTTTAATTCATGAGTAAACGGGAGGGACAATAAGGTGTCTCTAATATTAAGGAGAGTGGTAGAGTGGGACAGTGGGTACTTTAACCCAAGACCTTAACCATTAGAATCTTGCACTCTACCATTAGGCCATGTCTGTGTATGTTTTAGCATCAATAGTACATGATTGTACCATCTTTCTGGCGTTCTGGAAGTCTAGAGCAAATAAACAATCACTGTTCTTAATTCATTTTGTAACTTTAGTTTTGTTACCTCATACAATCCTTGTTGATTCTTCTACTAGATGAGTGCCCGTGAGTTGCAACGGGTGCAACATAAATTGAATGAGATGTTTGTTAGCCAAGTCAAAATCAAGCATATATCAATTCAATTTTTCACGTGTATTATACCATCATAATGTCTAGAAACACATTCATTATCGTAATGAATCTGAAATAAAAGCTAGGCTTGGAGCTTGTTGTCTGAAAGTTATGACAAACATCAGTTGCCTCAAAGGCTGAAAATTTATTGCTAGGCATCGAATTGAATTTATCCATGCTCTGCCTTGCCAAAACATGTATACTCGGACTTACAATATCCTAGCCCGCATGAGGCATGGCAATAATTCATTTTTTGGGAAAAAAAAGTATTTGTTGTCAACACGCAACGTGAAGGACGACGAACGAGATTTGGATCACGATCATGATCATTGCGTGGTGATATTCCAATAAATTCCTTTCTCTTCCCATAATTCTCTTTTCATTTTATTTACTTGCCTTCCTTAGTCTCCATGCGGTGATTATTTGCCTGCCGGTGATTCCGTGAGTTTTATTCCATTTTATTTACTTGCCTTCCAGTGTCTCCATGCGGTGATTATTTGCCTGCCGGATATGGATCGCATGAGTGTTTTGGTCCTGCCGGGTAGATGTTGACAATCCGTATATTTTAGTTGTAGAGATAAGTGAGATGAGAAAGACGAAACAACTTTCTCAAGTTATTGTGGATTCATCTTGGTTGGAACTTCCATCAACAGGAGCCAGGACCTGGTGCTGTTACCTGATATGGACCATAGTTTATATATTGGACCGTGACGTGTAGTGGTAAAAGTCACAATATATTGTGCTGCTTTCGTATTGTTTGAAACAAGGTTATCAAACAAAAGATGTCCCTTGTTACCTTGCATGCATATCAGTTTAGAAATCCTGCTGAAATCTGTATCTTTCTTATATAGAAACTCCATTATGTATTGGCAATCAGTTTTGTGCACGGTTGAATACTTATATGTTGACACTGCAGGCTGTTGAGCGCATGTCAATTGAGAGACAGAGGCAACTCCTCTTCTTCTGGACTTCAGTGAAGTATTTACCATCAGACGGCTTTTGTGGGCTGAGCTCCAAACTCTACATATACAAGACATCTGATTCACCTGACCGGCTCCCATCATCGCAGACCTGCTTCTACCGGCTCTGCCTCCCTCCTTATACATCCTTGAAAATGATGGAAAACCAGCTGCAGAAGATCACACAAGAGCATGTGAGCTGCAGCTTCGGTACATGGTAGTTGCTGCTGCTGTTCTGGATTCTAAACCAGTATATTCTGTACATATGGTAGGCTAGTGACACCCTACTGTCTCATTGAATCTTTTCCTAGAGCTTGAGGAGGTAATAGGCTGTCTTTCTTTTTCATCTGTATGTATCGTGAGTTAGTGCTCCGAGACTTTTATTTAATCTATCTAATGCAGAAGGAATTGATAGAAAGCAGGTTCCTTTGTTTTCTAAAGAGCGGTGACGCTGTGTACTCCAGCCGTTGTCCGTAATGTAATAACATGTGCATGTAGATGCATTGTGGTGAGTGCTGACACTCCGATTACCAGTGAACGGCTGGTGGGCTATTCTAGTTGATCCGTTACCGAACCAAAGCATGTCATTGATTTTTCTTCTCTAATTTTGATTTTGTGGAACCGGCATACTTTGGTCAGCTTTCTTGTAGCAGTAATCTGCCAGTTTTCAGCTGGCTCTCAGTCGTGTTTTGCTTTCATGTGAACCACAGCAGAAATTTCAGCTGACTCAGATGTTTTGCTTGGGAGTGAAGCTCATGTGAACCATGGCAGATGTTTTTTGAGGAATGGATGGACCAAGGCTGCCCTGCCCGTCGCTGGGCATCTGAAACTGAAATCGTGAATCACAACAGTTTCTTGGTTGTGTTCTGGAATTCTGAATCACAACCATTCATTTTTGGGGATCTGAAATCAGTCATACGGAGTATGCGTGTCCAGTTGAACTGAACGCTGGTGCATTGCACTTGGACACCTCTTTCGCTCCGTATGTTTTGCGCGTCCCGCACCGCAGCCGGAGGAAGCACGTTACTGACTGACATGCTGTCATGGACCATCATGGAGTACGGAGTATGTCCTTAGCAAATCGCTATAGGCCATGCCCGAGCTACCAGTACCAGACGTCGGCAAAGATAGCGTCGGCACCGAAGCGGCTGCCGTGTGATGGAGACCATTGACACAACAGGCTCGCTAATCACATATACTTCGCACGAGCGCCCTATCCTAGAGATGCGCGGTTGAGTTCAAGGACCCGGCAACCTGCATGACGACACGATGCCATGAGGGCGTGGTGGAATGTTTGTAGGCCGGGCCCGAGCTGCTCTAGGGTGGATCCGGCGTTCTGAATTGCTGCACTTCCACAGCTTTGCAGCCTTGCAGGTTTGCCGATGAACAACTGGCTCTAGCAATATAAAGATCACAATCATAATCATGCCACACAAACACAATGCAGCGAACGTAATGATAGCCAAAGAAGACAAATCACGATCATAATCATGCCACACAAACACAATGCAGCGAACGTAATAATAGCCAAAGAAGACGAGAACGCAAACATGCTTGATATCCATACCCAAACTGCCATACATACACGAGGATAGATAGATAGACAGAGAACAGGAACCAACAACAACATCAAAGACACACAAGCTGCAGCGGTAGGGCATGGGGCACCGTGCCACTGACACCGGGCCCCACCACCCCCACCCCCACCACCACAACGCACACTTTATTTAGCCCACGTCACTCGCAGTCCGCACCGGACAGTCCACGCGACAGCCACTGCTAGCTACGTACCGAGCTACGACACACACACACAGAAACGCCAGTAACCGTAGCGTACTGAACAGCAAAAGACCGTGCCATGTACGCGCGCACGCGACTGCCACGCCAGTACGCCACGCGCGCACGATGAGCCATCTCACTCCGATCCCCTGGACGCCGCCGCTGCCTGCGCGCGCACGGCCTCACTCGCTGGCCTTCTCGGGCTCCTCGGCGGCCGGCTCGGCCGCGGCGGGCTCCTCGGCGGCAGCAGGAGCAGGAGCAGGAGCAGGAGCAGCCGCGTCGGGCTCGGCGGCCACCGGCTCTGTCTCGGCAGCGGGCGCCGCCACCTCCTCCTCCTCCTTCACCTCCTCAGCCGCCGCCGGCTCCGCCTCCTTTGGCGCCTCTTCCTCCGCGGCCGCCTCCGGCTCCGCGGCGGCAGGCTCGGGCTCCGCCGGGGCAGCTGGTTCCTCCACCTCAGCCTCGGCGGGGGCGGCAGCCTCCTCGGGCACGGCCGCCGGCTCAGCCTCGGCGGGGGCGGGGGCAGCCTCCTCGGGCACCACGGCCGGCGCCGGCTCAGCCTCGGCGGTGGCGGGGGCAGCCTCCTCGGGCACCACGGCCGGCGCCGGCGTCTCCACCACGGGCGCCTCCTCGGTCGCCACGACGGTCGGGGTCTGGACCTGCACATGTGCACGGCGCGTACAAATTAGCTTCCTCCATTGTTAACATAGGATCGTCCATCTCTATCTCATCAAAGATGAGCGATCGATCGCACGATCGATGAGATAGAAAACATTATTCACAGGTATTCGATCGGAACAAAAGATCCAAACGCGCGATACGTGCATATATATGATATGAATCAAAGACTAGGATCGATCGAGCTACCTCGGCGGTGGCCATTGGTGACGATGAGAAGGCTGATGACTACACGAAGGAGTGGCTAGCTAGAGCTAGAGCTAAGGCTGAGCTGCAAGAGTGACCGATCAGAGAGTGTGATCGATTCGAGCTTGTGTGAAGCAATATGGTGAGACGGGGGCGCTATATATAGAGGCCCGGCCCCGGCGCCCGGCGGCGAGGCCAGAATGGGGAGAACACAAGCGCTTGCCACTCTGCCGAATTTTTTTAAATCCCCCTTGATCTAATAAAGAGCTGTCGTCGCTGGTATCATGATCGGGAATCTTGAGGAGCTGTACAAGCACACATGAACATGTCATGCAATGCAACCAAAAGGTGCCCATGACCGTGTCATGACACGTGGAAAGGGTCCAAAAGGGGCGGCGTGCACGGTGTCTTGGTTCTTTCACCCCAGCAGGGCCCCGGTGCGTGCATCTGTGGGAGAGATCAGTACATCACCAACACCAAGTGATCACAGGTTCACAGACCGATCGATGATGTGTGTGCATGCATCTCTCCAGGCTCCAGCATGTGTGTCCATGAAGACAAGTGTACCTTTGGGAGATGTAGGCTTCATTGCTGCACGTTGCACGCCGTCCTTGGCGTCCGTAGTTAACTGAGCGACCCCCACCTCTCCTCGCAGGCTGCAGCGGTGCAGCAGCCAGATCAGCGAAGAGATTCGGCAGCTTTGGTTACAGGGGAGGGGAGAGATTGATTAGTGCTTTGCTCGTACGAGATTAGAGGTGACAGGAATAGAGGCGGTTGTCGGGGTAGCGTGCAGACAATGCAATTGGGACCGGTGAATGTGCATCTGCTTGTTAACAGTGCTGTTCAGGAATGCTATGACAATGAGCCTACTACGATGATGTGATGTTGGACTTCGGAGTGACTAGATCAGCAAAGTTATTAAGTTGCATCTATAGCTAGCTGGACTTTTTGGACGCTGGATGACTGGATGATCTATTCTACAGTTTTGTTAATTTGTTTTCCTTTCTTCCGTCAGTACTGGTGTCGATTCGAACTTTGAAGTGGCCTGTTTGCATGCTGTTGTGATATGGGTGCACAACTGCTCATCACAAAAAGCAACGGTTGCAGTGCAATTGACAAACAAAAAAGTTTGTTTTCTTTGTTACCTAGTCGATGATATGATGAGAATTAGAATTGCATCTCGAATCATCAAGGACAAGGCTATGTCACGATGGGAAAATTGGATCATGATACTGAACCCTACCTCGTCGTTGGCTGATGAACTGAACGTATGCAAAGTAGGTATTAGCGAGGTTTTTCTTTTCTTGTTTTAAGGATTATTTACCAGCTGCTTATTATCAGGAGCTTCAAGCAATTTTATGACATCCTTCTTTTATTATTAGCAAACATTTTCGTGTGTTGCAGCCGCATATACTATTTCTGTCGTTCGCTCTAATATGAAATTGAACATTGTGTCATAGTTGAATCGTATATGGGCGCGGCCGTGAGTTTGACACAAACAAAACAGTAAACCTATTAGAACCCTTATATTTAATTCATCACGTACCACTATTCTTAATAAACACTGTCCAGAACTCTTATTGTTGGCCCTCAAGGAAGTGGCACAGATCGGGAGAGAGGGACGAACAAAAATTTGGATGAAGAAATTTTCTCCTTTTAATATAACTAGCAAACATACCCGTGTGCTGCAACGAAACATTTAACTTCTTGCGTGGTTACCTGCTGGACGACTTGCGGCTTATAGATTTATTTAGCGATCATGTCATCATGCGTTTCAATTCGTTTGCAAATCGAACACCATAGTGTGCCCCAGATGCGTGTTGCTCTAGCTTGTGTATGGGTATAAGAATAGAAGGGATCGAGTTCGTCAAATCCCCATCTGACAGTTGTAAGAGGCGAAGGATGATAGATATTAGATATAGATTATTAGAAAACTTAGATTAGTTCATTAAAAGAGCTCCGTGTCGACCCCTATATAACAATCACCACCCACTAAAAACTCTGAACTTTTATTTGATGGAAAAAAAGTTTAGGTAGACAACATCATTATTCGACACTATACTTTATTTTCAAATCTAAATTTGGCCAAAACTTTGGTAAGCTATTTGAGGATTTGGAGTTTGGCAAAAATAACTTTCATGTGCATCATTTAGGCATAGAAACCAAACCTATTCCTATCAAGTGTCTTGTTCCAGTTAATCAAGGCAAATGGATCACTCTTATCAACTTTGGGTCAAGTCCGTCTCCTTGCTTTAGACAACATTAGGCAACCACCACCTTTATCCAAAAGCTAGCATAGAAATATTTGAGCCGATTGTACTGTTCCGCGGGAGTAGTTGTCCATGGATCAACTTTGCCTTGCAAAATAATGGAAAAGCAAGTAAGGATGGCATCAGCAGGACAGCGAGGTCAGACTCGTTTTGTGGTACACCGCAATGGGGGCAGCGAGACACCTCATTATCAGTTCAGTGAAGTAGCATAGCTATCTCATCGCCGCCGAAAGGATCAGCGATCACATGGCAGCTAGCTCAAGGCCGGTCCACTACAAGCATAAGGCCAAAATGCTTTTGATGTCATCGGTGGCAAGCCAAAGTTCAGTTTCATTTTTGTAACTGTAAGTGATCTTTCTTTCTTTTTTCCCAGCTTTCTTTGAAGTTCTACACGTTAGGAATATTTGGATCTTCATTCACAAGTTTTGTGCAAAATGACTCCGATTTCACATGGCTCAAGAAAATTTGTACATTTCAAAGTTCAAACGGAGTCTCGATCATCAGCTAGCTGCAGGAACAGCAACGGTGGCGGCGGCGCGGCGGAGAATGATAGAGGTGGGCAGCTTTCTTTTCATGGGATTTTAGCAAGTTACAAGGGGTCACGATAGCTTTTTCGTACGCGTCGTTTTCTCGGCTCCAAGCACAGCCACTGAGATGTGGAGATGACAGGGAAGATGACGGCAAGATTTCTTCGCCTTTCGGAGCGAGAGCCCACGCCCAACATCCAACATGCCTAGTAGGGCGGCTTGATCGGCGACAAATCACAGGGGAAATCGGCATGGCCGGCTGTCAGTGTGGGCCCGCGTGCATATCCTCTCAGATCTCCAGCGGTCAGTAAATCTATTTCAGTGTTTGTGTGCTTATGAGTTCCCGTCTGAAATTGAAGTATTTGCAAAAAAAGGTTTTAGCAATGTCGTTTTGGTTGCAGAATATGAATTAAAGGCAAGTTAAAAATGTAGTGGAGAATCGAACGCTCCTTGTGCACCATGGGCGAGGCATTGATCTGTGGCTCTGTGCAAAGTTCATTTGGTTTTGAAGCGCCACACATGCTGCCACGGAGTTCCTGGCCACGGAGACAAACTGGCATAATTGGTGGCCATGACCCGGAACTCGACGGTGACGTGGCAACAGAGCTAGGGGCGGTGGACAGGACCCCACTCAGAGTCATCACATTTCCACTTCCTGATGACGTCGGGTGCCGCCAAATACGTGTTTCCATGTCATCGTGCGACCACTTGCATTAGATTGCATTAGAGAGACGAAGGCACGCCCTCTAAGCGGTCTCTCAGGTGTCCACGTAGGTTCTATTTAATTTGTTAGATAAAAATTCTACGACTTAGATAAAGCGCGTCGTAAACAGCCTACCTTCATGTATTCGGCAGTGGATAGATAAAGTAAGTGGACGCATTTAATAAAGTAGATGAAAAATTGAATGACCATGCATGCAAGGACAATATAAACTGTAGATGTACTTTACATGCAAAGAGTTACTACGGTAGGGGGATTTACATCACTGTGCTTTCACGTGTCCTTTATATAAAAAAGTTACTATGACAGGAGGAATTTATATCACATGTGCCTTCTCCTTTTACATTAATGAATTTACTATTAATAGATACTAGACAGTAAATTTTCATGCATGCACGAGTGCCTCCCTAAGCTATCCAGAAATTCACTCGGTAAATTTAAAAGCACTGGACATCTTCACCTACACAGGGTGGGTCAAAAGCAGGTGGACACATTTAATGCCTTCCCACCATGCTACCATCATATACAAACAAGTCGGGCATGTGGACACATTTTATACCCCTCCTTCTTACCATCAGATAAAAATAATTCACCGGCCATGCAGGAACATTTGTACTTACACATGCATCCATGCATCTAAGAGACGGCTTGGGTTGCGTGCACGTTGCTACCGAGGTGGTCGGTGGTTGGGGTTGGTCGTCATTAATACGGCTATCATACTTGCATCTGCACCCATGCATGCAAAGTCCCTCGTTCCTCCTCCAACTCTTGCCTATATAAGCATGTGACATCCATTGCTTCATCGCACCCCTCCTAGCCCTCCCAGTGTCGCCATGTGTCCTCCTTATAGTTCATATACGGGAAATCGGTAGCTATGGCCTCAGGGGCACCCGCAGTGGTGAGTCGACCAATCTCAGATAAAGACAGCCACGTCAACTGAGGCCATGAGTCGACTCCTGGCCCAACAGTACCACAGGCCCCACAGCAAATTAAAAAACGATAAACAACGTGACCTTTGTATGTATCAGTATGTCTTTGGTTACATGACACACGGTAGGTAAGTTAATGCACTTATAGAATGGCCCGCGACTCGCTGTAGCCCCGTGGCGGTTGCGCTCGACGGTGACTGCTGACCCGCTGTGGCCAGGCCCACGGCCTGTGCCTGTACGGCCGGCATCGTGCGACTAGCGACTCACAGCGGGCCCCACGCTTGCTGCGCTCGTGGCTCGCGCCCAGCGGGTGAAGGCCCCCGCGCGGACCCCGTCCTCGCGACCGGCATCCCAGCGCGACGTTGAGCCCGCGACTATCGGTCGCCGCAGCCTCGTGGCCCCAGCCCTCCCAAACTCTAGCACCTTCGGCGACGACGGTGGTGGTTGGTGGGCACCCACCCGCGGCCAGCGGCTTTGCGCTCGCGATGGCCAAGCACAACACCCACGGTTGGGCCTCACACCTGGCGGCTGGCGGCCCCTCCTGCGGCAGCGACCTTACGCCCGGCGACCA